TTTTTTTGAGAAAGAGTCTTGCTGTGTCCCCCAGGCTGAAGTTCAGTGTCACAATCTTGGCTCACTACAACCTCCGCCTCCTAGGTTCAGTGATTTTCTTGCCTCTCAGCCTGCCAAGTAGCTGGGGCTACAAGTGCATGCAACCATGCCCAGCTAATTTTTTGTAGTTTTAGTAGAGATGAGGTTTTACCATGTTGGACAGGTTGGTCTTGAACTTCTGACCTCCAGCAGTCTGCCTACTTTGGCCTCCCAAAGTGCTGGGATTACTGGTATGCACTCGGACCAGGTTTAAATTTTAAAAGATTCCAAAGAGTACAAAAATGCTCTCTGATTACAATGGAATAAAATTAGAAATACGTAATAGATATATGGGAAATCTTCTGATATTTGAAAATAATACACTTCTAAGTAATTGATGGTCAAGAAGTCCAAAGAGTAATAAGTATTTTACACTGAATAAAAATATTCTGATATTGTGATGAATTGATTTTTTTTAAATGTGAAATTATTCTTGCATTCTTAAAATGAACCATTCTTTTTTTGTTTGTTTGAGATGGAGTTTCCTTGTTGCCCGGGCTGGAGTGCAATGGCGCGATCTCTGCTTACTACAACCTCCACCTCCTGGGTTTAATTGAGTTTCCTGCCTCAGCCTCCCGAGTGGCTGGGATTAAAGGCACATGCCACCACACCTGGCTAATTTTATATTTTTGGTAGAGAAGAGGTTTCTCAATGTTGGTCAGGCTGGTCTCAAACTCCTGACCTCAGTTGATCTGCCCGCCTCAGCCTCCCACAGTGCTGAGATTACAGGCATGAGCCACCTCGCCTGGCCCAGAATGAAACAATTCTTGGTTGTGATGTATTTTCCTTTTCATTTCTTTAGATTTAAATTACCAGTATTTTATTTAGGATTTTTGCATTAGGATTTTGTTCATGAAAGAAATTTTGATACATAATTTTTCTTTCTTTTCCAGTACACAGTAAACTTGGAAGAATTTTACCGTGAACACTTATTTATCTAATATCTAAATTCTGCCATTAACATTTTAAAAATTTTAATTGTAATTGTGGTAAAATACATATAATATAAAATTATCTTAATCATCTTAAATGTACAAACATTTCAGTAATGTTAAGTATATAACACATTGTTGTGCAACCAATCTCCAGAAGTTTTTTATCTTGTAAAGTTGTCATAATGTGTCAGAATTTCATTTTTAAGACTGGAAAATATTTCATTGTATGGCTGTATACCACATTTTTTAAATCCATCCATTCTTCAATGGACACTTGGATTGCCTCCATCTTTTGGCTATTGTGAATAACGGTCTGTGAACATGAGTGTACAAATATCAATTTGAGACTCTACTTTCAATGTTTTCTTTTAGTAATTTCATAGTTTCAGATCTTAAAGTCTAATTCATTTAGATTTTATTTTTGTATATCGTGAAAGATAAGGGGTCTAGTTTCATTCTTATGTACATGGATCCAGTTTTCCCAGCATCATTTATTAAAGAGACTATCCTTTCCCCAGTGTATGTTATTGGCATTTATCAAAAATAAGTTCACTGTGTGTCTATGGACTTGTTTCTGGGTTCTCTACTCTGTTCCATTGGTTGTGCATCTGTGTTCATGTCAGTACCTTGCTGTTTTGGTTACTATAGCTCTGTGGTATAATTTAAAGTCAGGTAATTGTGATTCCTCCAGTTTTGTTCTTCTTTACTTAGAATGGCTTTGACTATTGTGTCTTTTGTGGTTCCCTGTAAATTTTAGCATTTTTTTTTCTGTTTCTGTGAAAAATGCCATTGGTATTTTGGTAGAGATTACATTGAATTGGTAGATTGCTTTGGGCAGTATGGACATTTTAACAATATTATTTCTTCCGACTCATGAACATGGAGTATTTTTCCATTTTTTTGTGTCCTCTAATGTTTTATAGTTTTCATTATAAAGATCTTTCACTTATTTAGTTAAGTTT